TAGACTGGTGCAAGCACTGTGGAAATCAGTATGGAGATACCTCAAAGAACTGGCACTGGAAGTCCTACTTGACCCAGCTATTTCCTTGCTAGGTATCTTCCTCAAAGAATTAAAATAATCATACAACAGTGATATATGTTCACCCATGTTCATAGCAGCACAATTTGTAATAGCTAAAACTAGGAAGCAACCCAATTGCTCATCAACTGCATACTGGATAAGAAAATGTTTGCTTGTTTTTTTAATAAAATGGAGTACTACTCAGCCATAAAAAATGAGAAATCAGAGACATTCATAGCTAAAAGAATGCACATTGAGGCAATACCCTTACGTGAAATAAGTAAAATACACATGTGTAAATACCAAATTTTTTCTCTAGTTTAAGAAGCTGAAAGTGTAAACAAGGGCTAAAAGTTATAATAGATCATGTGAAATAGGAAGAAAAAGGCATAGGGGAAGGGGAAGTAGGAGGGATGGGGAAAGGAAACGAGGGAATGGAATTAATATGAGAAGAAAAAAAATGGAAACAAAGTCTTTGTAAATAGGGAAGGATGGAGGTGTTGAAGGGAGGGCAGGGGAAGGGGGAAAAAAATAAGAACCAATACAGATTATGTAAAGGTGCAAATTTCCAATGATGAATGTCATTATATTGCATACCTAAAATATACCAATAAAATTAAATAAATAAATAAATACGTACATAAATAAATAAAATCACAGAAAATGTCTCAGTGAGGAGAAAGTAACTAAGACAGATATTTCTGCCTCATGGGCCCCAAAAGCCTCATGTATGCCTCTTTATGCAAACTGCGTTTAGTCCATTTCTAATGTTACCAAAGTTCTAACAGGTTCAGTGTTGCTAAAAAGTATAATTTCAAAGTCTCTTGTGATATTTAAGGCAAACTCTTTTCTCTGAGCCCTCAGAAAAATCAAAAATTTAAACACTACCAATACACAAAGCCACAGAGAAAACATTCCCATCCCAAAAGAGAAAAATAGGGGAAGAGGCAGAAATGGGACCAACGCAAGACCAAAATACAGCAAAGTAAACATTCAATCACGTAGTTCTATATCCAGAACCCTAGGCAAATTGTGGTGAGATACAAACTCCAAAGGGTTGGGGAAGCCCCACCCCTACAGCACTGTTGGTAGTTTCAGACTTCATGGCTTCTCTCTTAGGACAGCTTTGCTCACTGCTTGCAGCTTTCCACAGATGATCCACGTTCCTAGTTTCTTTAACTTTCTGGCATCTCCACTGCACTTTTGGCTTCACATTCATGGCTTCACACACTGAGCTCTCAGGCACACACCACCTGGCCCCTCAGACTTTCTTCTGAAATCTGGGTAGAATCCTCCCTGACCACACAATTCTTGCGTTTTGTATGTTTGTAAAATCAGCACCGCATGAATGATGCCAACATCTATCCCCAGTTTGAGCTATAGTTGAGCCTTTTTACATCTTGCTGGTACTTAAAGAGGACTCTCTGAGTGCCTAGATGACTGAGCAGGGTAAACTGAATCCTGGAAAATCAATTCTCATTATCGAGGCTGTCACCACTCTGAGGCATGATGTGCTGGGGGCTCTCTTCTCAAAACAAAGTGTTCCACTTTTCCACCCTTGGATCTGTGAAGGGTGGAGTCTCAGATTCCTCCCATGCTCTGAAGTCACCCTTCACATTGCCCATAATCAAAATCCTTGGCTTCTCCTCCTTTTTTTTTTTAGGCGGGGGGGTGTATTGGGGATCTAAATTGAGTCCTTACACTTGTGAGGCAGGTAAGGGAACCACTGAGCTAAATCCCCAGCCCCTTGGCATCTTTTTTAATGCTAATCTTTTTAGCAAGTTATGGTCTACTTCTTTGCAGCATCCAAGTTTGCTGGAGCTTCCTTTCTGACCAAATTCAGAAAATTTTTTCATTCAGTTGTATCTTTTGCTCTTAACTTAAAACTGGCTACACAATCCTAACAGTATCCAAACCACAGCCTGAATGTTTGGCTGCCTTGAAGTTTCCTCCACCAGATTAATCATTCCACCACCCTTAATCTCAGCTTCCCCACAAAGTCTCAGGACTGTAAGCAAAATATAAACTCAGAATTTTAAGTAAATTTTGTGCCAGAGCATAACATATGTGCTAGAGTCCAACTGCCACTAGAGTCCTTGTTTCCAACTGAAACCATCTAACATTGGTGTTTACCATTTGTCTTTTTATTCCATTTTGATCTTCTGAGCTTTGACTAGAATCTCCCACAAAGCTCAGCTTATAACATTCTAAAGTTACTTCACCAGCTAGCATCTCTAAATTTTTCCAAACTCCTCCCAAGTACCACTTCTGAAGGTTTCTAAACCACATGTTCACAACAATGACCTCACTTCTCTGACACCAATATCTGTCTTACTGACTTTCTCATCACTGAGACACAATACTCAACATTCACAACCTAAAGAAGAAAGATTTATTTTTGCTCATAGTTTGTAGAAGTTTCAGGCATAGTTGGCTGACTCTAAGGCAGGCTGGCATGGCAGAGGAGAATTGTTCATAGTAGAGCAGGCAAGAAGCATAAAAAGGGAGGAGGAGAAATATGCCCTTCCTGGTCATTCCTGCCTCCCCCTTTGCCAAGGCTTCACCTCCAAACAACATTTAGTGATAAACTCAACAGTGGACTAATCCACTGATGAGTATGATGGACCCATTATCCAATCATCTCCTAAAAGCCCCCCTCCCATGACTGCATGAGGTTTGGAGAAACATGTAGACATAAACAATCCAGGAAAAAAGAGAGAACAAGAAAAAACACATTTCACTCTCAAGAATGTTCTTGACGAAACAGTAAAAATTTTTAATCATATTAAACCTCACCTTCAAACATCTTTTTTAATATTATATATAATATAGTGTATACGTAAAGCACTTCTACCGCTTACCAAAGTAAAATGATTGTCTACAGAAATTACAAATTGAGCTAGCCATTTTCTCCTGGAATATCAATTATATCTTTGAAAAAATAACTGACAACAAACGATGGTATTCATGTTTAGGTGTTTAACAAGCATTTTTAGAACAAAAAACTTCATGTAGATAGGCTTAACAAAAACACCATGCATAGAAACTTGCTGAAGTTTCAAGCTTTTAAACTAAAATTAAAATTTTGTAAAAATGTTACCTGATTCTATGAGCATGAACTCTTCCTAGTACTCAAAGACCTTCTTGTGAAGTTGGTGATGATATTAATGAATATGACAGGTTGATATTTTATAATAAAATGAATCAGTATTTAGCAGATCCACACAACATAGTGAACCATTACTTTTCCAATGGCCAATGCATGTTATCATATAAACATTCAAAATGAAAAGATAGGTCAGTGAATTTTGAAGGATCAAAGTATGAATATTCAATGATCTGGCCTAGGATTATGCATTGCAACTAACTTCGAAAAAGTTATCATTTGTCAAATGTTGGTGGAGTAGTAAGGAATAAGGTCTCCAATTATCTGAAAAAGCTAGTAAAATACTGTACCTTATCTATTTACATGTCTCTATAATGCCATATTTTCTCATATACTTCAGCCAAAGCAACATATTACAAATTCAGAAGCAGATATGAGAATGTGTTCTATGACTCCATGTATTTTAAACATTTTCAGATAAAGAAAAGAATAAGCCATTCTTGTCACCATTTTTTCCATAAGAAATGACATTATTTTTCATAAAATATGCCATTTATGTTAACATGTAATGGGTTTTTTATTTATATAAGGAAGTAAATATATTAACACTTTTCTTAGTTTTAATTTTTAATATGGAATATCAATAGATATAATTCACATAAGCAAAGGCTTTCTGGTCATCAATAATTTTTACAAGAGAAAAAACTGTCCTGCAACAAAAATCTTGAGAAGTACTGTGACATGCTTCTATGTATTCTAGACCAGCAGCCATTGTGACATCAGCATCATATCAATGATTACCATGGGAAGGAGATTATGGAGTTGACCCTGGTTTCCCAGAGTTCTCCACCCATTCTGTCTTGGAAGAAGTTACCACCTAAGAGTGCCTGTTTTTGATGTTCTCGGTAGGGCATTCTATGATGTTACCCAGAAAGAAATCCAGCATACTGTAAGAGAAGAGCTATTTACCCTGACATTGGCTCTTCCTGTGATTCTAGTCACATTTCCTAATACCCTGCATCTTATTCCACAATGAAAGATGTACAGATTTCATACCAGGAGAATAAAAGCTACTGTTGGATATATATGGACTTCAAATCTTTGCAAGATCAGAAAATCTCTGAAAAATGCTTACCAAAAATGTAAAATCCAGAACCCAGATTCAACCATCAGATACCCAACAATGACTTATGATTGTGACCAAGATGGTATCAGTTCAGATGAAGATATGAATCTTACAGTAATGCTCAAAGATATTCAAACTACCCAAATTGAACTCCTCAGCAAAATGACTGACATTGTTAGTGCAGTTATCAAAAGTCCAGGAAAAGATCAGCCATTATCAGAAGCAGATGGAGGTCCTAGAAACCAGAATGAATGTTAATGAAGATAAACAATTCATAACAACAAAAGATATCTTTCCTATGAAAGAAGATATGTATACCTTAAAGAAGAAGGTGATAGAACTGGAAAACCAGAATTCTTGCTCTAGAATATATTGTTTAGAAGTTCTAGAGAAAGAAATGACTAAATAAATCATAGAACTACTTCACAAATTCATACAACCAGAAACTCTGAAGAACACCACAGCCTCTGTAGACTGAAATCTCTACAGCAGAACCAGAGAAAGTGCCTAGTTATTCAGAGCCCACTGATCATCTTGAAGAAAATAAAAATCTCACCTAAAATTAAAACTCTGAGGAAAAGTAATGGGAATAAAGCACCTAGAAGCCTTAAAAAAGCAAAGTCAAATATTTACATTTACCCAGACTTTGGTACATGGTTCAAGCTAACTTTTGTTCATGGAGGAAAGTGGAGATTTTTCCTTAGGGCTACTAAGTTAGAGGACTTCATCAAGTGGCTTCTTTCTACAACAGCCATCCTGCCTGAGGACCCACAGATCATAACCAAGAGAGACTGTCCATTTCCTGGACTTATTACAAGCTTGACCACAATCTGTGTCTCTCTTTTCCACTACATTTACTGCCTTTTTGGTTCTTCAAAAGAGGAAGTAACTTGACTATAGAGTGTTTCTTTCTCCTTTTCTTAGTACAAAGTAAATGCAATCTGTTTGCTGTAAGCATTCACATGCCTTTATGGAGACTTTGAACTCTTGGTAGCTTGCTAACAATCAGTCCATTATTTGCAGAATTCATATCCATCTAGAGTAAGTTAAGATGTATCATCCCATTGGACTACTGTCATCCACCTTATGTCAATGTTCTTGTTTTCTCAAAGGCAATACATGAGGACTCATCTCCTATCCTTTCTCATATATCACTTAAAGAAAAGAATGAAGGTGGTCAAAGGAAATGTGAAACATGTTTGGGAGTCATCATGTCAGTTTTCTAGACACTTTTGTCTTAGTGATTTATATAGATAAAATTTACGATATGAGAGACACACTCTATAGACAAAATTTTAAACAGCACAAAGTGAAAAACAAAAAATTCACCATAAGGCTATTAAGTTAGCATACAATAATGAGGGTGATTAAAAGACAGTACAAGGAAAATATTAATTTTAAAATGTATTTTTATTTCAACTTCAGCTTTATCTCTATTAGACAATTAGATAAGAGAAATGATTGATATGGTTTTGGGTAATTTTCACATTTTCATGAAAGGAGACAAATGCCATGTCCTTAGAATTTCATACAGAGGAAAAGGGAAAAATCTGAAGGATATGTGAAGTTAAATCTCAACCATAACACCACAAACTCTTATATTACAAGGTACTTTGTATAAACTATAAGTCAGGGTTAGGCTTCATTTTTACACACAATAGGTGGTTTTCATTGTAATGTACTTTTTCTAAATATGTAGATCATTTTAAAAGTATTTAAATCCACTTAAGTCAATGAATGTAATCTACCAATGGTCATTCTTTTGAGGTTAGATGCTGTTAAACTACAAATATCCTTGGTAAATATACTACTTTTAATTATTCTCAATTTACAAATTGAAAGGGAAGATTTGGGAGACTGGCTATGAATAACCCAGTTTCAAAGAAGAGAAAGGAGTTGATGTGAGTATAGAAAAACCTAGGGACAAACACAGTAGGGCGATTTTGTTTAGTACCAGTCTGGTAGTAATTGTATACCACGATTATTTTCTTTATAAATATATTACAAATTTGCAGACAGGATATGTACACAACCACCTTTAAAATGTCATATGCAATATACCTAGTAAAAGCAAAGTATATTTTAAATGTTTATTTTTTGAATGAGATAACTGTACTTGCAAAATAGACTGTTGTTCTGGTAGGGGCATTAGCAATCTCTATGTACTAATTCACCATCAGTGATAACTGAAAGGGACAGGCAGATCTCCTTTTCAGCACATTGGGTCTGGTCTCTCATTAGGAGAGCCTGGAAGCTAAGTCATGACATAGGTAAATGACTTCACAAGTGGCTCTAAAAGAGGAAAAAAGCTGGTGTAGTCCTGGGTCCCCTGAGCATCTGTGTATTGGTGCACACTTTCACTTCCCCTCACATGGCGCCTTAGCACTTGAAGTTTTAAGAGGGGCAGTTTAGGGAGCAAAGATAGGCTTGGGGATCACAAATGTACATTCTGAACCTAAATTCTAAATCCTATGCTTATAAACTCTACTATTTAATCTCAGCCAGGTCTGTTCTGTCATCTATTAAAAGAGGATTATCACATTAACTTAGTATTTTTTTCACTAATAACAAGAGGTCATGGAGGATAAGAGAAAAAAATAGAAGATAGTCCTGTACTGTAGACACATCACATTGAATGGGACAGATAAAATGTGTACATAAATAAGACTGACGCACAGCAGATGAGGATGGATAGCAGAAAGCAACATAAAAAGTACTCCTGGTGTCACAGAAGACAGAGGTTGATGAGGCTTGTTGTAAGGAGGAAGGAAAGGAGATGAGGGCAATGTAACAGGCAAAAGGAAACACAAGGCCATAGGAGTGGAAGGTGAAAGAGGACATGGGAAATTAAAGCCTCTAACCATTATACACATGCAAAGTACTGAAAAGGATTTTTTTATTTTATTTTTTTAGGTATACAATATAATAATATTCATTATTGGAAATTAGCACCTTTACAAAATCTGTCTTGTTTTTTTTTTCTTTTTAGGTATACAATATAATGACATTCATCATTGGAAATTAGCACCTTTAAATATTCTGTCTTGATTCTTATTTTTTCCCCATTCCTCTGCCCCCCCTTCAACACCTCCATCATTCCCTATTTACAAACACTGTTTCCTTTTTTTCATTTTCTCATATTACTTCAATTCCCTTCTTTCCTTTCCCCTACCCTCCCATTTCCCCTTCTCCTTTGCACTTTTCCTATTTCACATGATCTATTATAGCTTTTAGTCCTTATTTACACTTTCAGTTTCTCACACCAGAGAAACTATTCAGTATTTACACATGTATGTCCTATTTATTTCACTTGAGTATCACCTAAATGTACATCAATTTAGCTATAAATGTCTCTAATTTCTCATTTTTTATGGCTGACTAGCACTCCATTTTATTTTTTTAAAACCACATTATCTTTATCCAGTCTCCACTTAATGGGAAATTGAGCTGCTTCCAAGTTTTAACTATTACAAAGTGTGTTGCTATGAACACGGGTGTACATGTATCACTCTGGTATAATTCTTTTAATTCTTTGGGGAAGATACCTAGCAAGGGAATAGCTGGGTCAAATGGGACTTCCAGTGCCAGTTCTTTGAGGTATCTCCATACTGATTTCCACAGTGGTTGCACCAATCAACACTCCCAACAGCAGAGGAACAGGGTTCCTCTTTCCCCACAGACACATCACCATTTGTTATTGGTTGATTTCATGATAGCAGCCATTCTTTCTGGGGTGAGGTGGAATCTTAGAGTTGTTTTCATTTGAATCTCTCGAATGACAAGTGATCTTAAACATTTTTTCATATGTTTATTTGATATTTCTACTTCTTTTTCTGAAAAATGTCTGTTCATTTCAGATGCCCGTTTTTGGATTGGATCTTCAAATTTGGGAGGTCTGATTTTTTGAAGTTCTTTATAGTTTCATGATAGTAGACCTTTGTATGAGGAACAGCAGGTAAAAATATTTTTCCCACATTGTGGATTGTCTCTTCACACTGTTGGTGGTTTCTCTTGCTGTGCAGAAGCATTTTAATAACAAGAGATCCCACTTGTTGATTGTTTGTGCTAGTTCACAGGCAACTGATGTTTTGTTCATAAAATCTTTTCCTATACCAATGTCCTTAAGAGGTCTACCTAACCTCTGTTCCAGCCACTTCAGGTTTTCTGTTTTAATATTTAGATCTTTAATCCATTTTGATTTTAGTTTGGGTCATGGTGAGACAAATAGTGCTAGTTTTAATCTTTGGCAGGTTGAAACCCAATTTTTCCAGCACTATTTATTAAAGAGGCTATCTTTCCTCCAGTGAGGGTATTTGGGTCCTTTGTCAAAGATGAGGTGGCTGAGTGTGGCTGGAGTTGTTTCTGCATCTTCTAATCAGTTCCACTGGTCCTCGGGTCTGTTTCTTTGCCAATACCATGCTGTTTTTATCAGAATAGCTTTTTAGTATAGTTTCAAGTCAGGGGTTGTAATACCCCCTGCTATGTTTCTCTTACCTAGAATTGCTTTTGCTCTTCTGGGTCTCTTCTTGTTCCAAATGAATTTTTGGATTGGTTTCCCAAGGTCCCTGAAGTATGCTGCAAGGATTTCAATTGGGATTGCATTAAATCTATATAGCAGTTTTGGAAATATGGCCATTTTCACTATGTTGATTCTTCCTACCCAGGAACAGAGGATGTCTTTCCATTTTCTGATATCATCTTCAGTCTCTCTTTTCAGAGTGCTATATTTTTTCAGAGAAGAGTTCTTTGATTTCTTTTGTTAGGTTGATTCCTAGGTATTTCAGTTTATTGGATACTATTATGAAAAGAATTGTTGGCCCTATTTCTCTCTCAGTGAGTCTGTCATTGATGTAGAGGAAAGCTACTGATTTTTGTGTGTTGACCTTGTATCCAGTTACTCTACTGAATTTGACTAGTGAGTCTAGAAGACTTTTGGTGGAGTTCTTGTCATTTTCTATATAGAGTATCATGTCATCTACAAATAATGACAATTTAACTACTTCATTTCCTATCATTATTCCTTTTATTTCTTTTTCTTGTCTAATTGCTGTGGTTAATGTTTCCAAAACTATATTGAACAGGAATGGTGATAGTGGACATCCTTGTCTTGTTCCTGATGTTAGTGTGAAGGATTTCAGTTTTTGACCATTTACTATGATATTGGCTGTTGGTTTTTCATAGATGGCTTTTATCAGATTGAGATAGAGACCATCTATCTGAATTTTTTGTTGGGTTTTGATCATAAATGCGTGATGGATTTTGTCAAATGCTTTTTCTGCAGCAATTGAGATGATCATATGGTATTTTTCCTTGGCTCTATTGAAATAGTGTATCACATTGATTGATTTGTGTATGTTGAACTATCCCTGCATCCTTGGGATGAATCCCACTTGATCAGGGTGTATGATCTTCTTGATGATCTTCTGCATTCTATTTCCAGTATCTTAGTAAGGAT